AAAAAAACATTCAGTATCAGACCAAAACATTGCATCCTAATATGTAATACCAGTTTTCTTTTATTTGATTAATTATATAAGCATAAACAAATGCTGTTATCCCAATGAAGCATTCCCAACACAAAGGAAGAAGATAATACCCCAGTCTAAGTCTTGACTAGCAGAATTTCAAATTCCTGCACTATGTCTTTAAAATTCTTTACCATAACTATACTGCTGGCTCAGATACTACCCTAGGTGGAACTAAGATCCAAACAACCAAGATGAATGCAAATATATGTGATACTAATAAGACATTTTTTCACTGTTCACTGACTACACTAATTGTTTCTCAATAAATGGAGCACATCCTATGTAAGTAAAGTTAGAAAATCCCAATAAATGATGTTTGTAATATTATAAAGATGAAACCATTATAAGGAAAAAAAACAAAAACCATAGTTTTGCTGGAAAAAAAATTGATTTTTCCACAAGACACTATTATCTACAATGATGTAACAGTTAAGTGCAGCTGTTTCTTCAATAGAGATTAATTCAGAGGATTATCTGTTCTTCCTGAACTGATATATATTTTATATGTGGTTCTACTATACAATATTTACTATGTTTTACTATCCAATATTTATGTTGTTGCAGCTTGAGATACAAATAGAGAAATACAAGATATTCAGTAAATTGTATTCCCATTACAAATTTAACCAATTCTGAAAAGCTACAAAAGAAAAGTCAAAATGCATCTTCATGTTTTCCAATACTCAGTTTTAAATTCAAAGACTGGCTTTACAGAAATAAATTTACAGAATTTTACAGAAAGAAATCTGATGAGAGAAAACATTAAATTATATAAAATTTCTTGTAACATTTGTTAACCAGTGCATATATACATATTCACAGTAAATCATGCAGAATCTGATAGTGTAAATTTTGTGTTGTAGTGACAGATTCTCATGCAAAAATAGTGTGAATCTGAATCCACTTCCTTAAGGGTGCTAAGTTTTATGTACAAACCTCAGAAAAGAAATGTTAAATTATTACAAGTCTCAGAAATCTGCTTTGGAGGAATATATTTTCTGTTCTACCATATAGGAGGAAATTACAAGTACATCATAGAATAGGCAGAACATTACTGGTTTTATTCAGTTTATCTCCATGACCACTTTTTATTTTTAAATTCTGAAGTCTCAGATAAGAAGGAGATACAATATGAAGGTCAGTATCTTATAAACACAGATTTTTGCTTAGCAGCTGTCAAGTCCATATGGACCCTTACATTATATAAAAATCCCACTGAAATTGCCAAAGTCAGCAAAAGCTTCCCAATAATCAGCTGTGGTCAATCCTGACTTTAAATTAGAGAACACAAAATAACTGTATGACATTAATTATATGATATTTGATTTTAAGTAAATCAACATTTGTTTAGGCTTTGGGATTGCAAGCTAACAAAAAATTAATAAAGGATTATGAAAAATTTATTTTGAAGTAGAAATTAACCTCTTTTAGGAGCCATAGCGCTATCTTGTGTTAACACGTTACACGGCATATGAATTTTAAGTTTATTTGAATCTTGCCAATAATCCATGAGGCTTGGCCCCTGTTGTCCCATAAAAGATGGTATTCATGGTAAATATGTGAGAGAAGTACAATGGAAGAAATCTCTATTGCTCTGCGGAGATGCTGTAAGGGCTGGGATAGGAGATGCCCTGAAGAAGACACTAAGGAATAGTGTCTGAAAACTTGTAGAAGTAGGAACTTGTCTAGTTGATGGCACTGAGCCTTAGAAAACATAATATATCTAGAAGCTGTTCTACACTGGAGAATACACTGTTATGAAGAGACAGGGAGGTTTGTCTGTCTGAGGAGAAAGTGGAAACAGGAAAGAAGTGATATTCTCCTAAAAGGAAGAAACCAAGCTTGTGTTGACTTTTGATCAGAAATTCTGATCAAAAGTAATTAGATGGAATATGAGCAAGAATGGAAGGGGAATACATATTCAGGTGTTCCTTAGAAAATGAAAAGTTGTGTTTGTGTGTTGAAACGAGCAATTCTTTTGAAGTGGTAACTGAAGTAGGCTGTGCTAAAAAAATAATTTAGACATCCTTTTGAAATAGAAGTAACTTCCTGATAGAAGGAAGAGAAGCCAGAGTCTATCAGAAAACAATTAACATATATTTTACTTTATGGTATCACAAAGTTATCACTTACTATATACAATCAATACACCTTTGAAGAATTTAATCCATGCAATGCAAACAATTCCATAAAAAGTAAAGTAAAATAATTGACTGCCAATGAGAAAAGGACATTATTAAAAAAACCCCAAAAACAACCAAACCAAATCATCAGTGGTAATTGACAAAAACTCTTTGCTTCCCTAAACAGCAATTAATTGGGCAACTTGGCTGGTATCAATAAAGGTCAGTAGTTTTGTGCTGTGTGTTACACTTTGAACTTTTGAATATGAGAAGTATTTCTTTTTCCTTCTGTCTCACATACTCTAGCATTATTTGAAGTGATAATGACTGAACTGTTACCATCTGCACCTCTTTCTGCCTTGCAATCAGATTTAAAAAGATTGTTTAAAGGATATTAGTGAGAACTGCTGCTGAAGTAGAAGGTCCCAATCTCTGACCACAAATATACTCACTACTTCCTGTTGCTGGCACGAGAGCTTAAGTAGACATGTGGTGAGCTAGTTCAGGGAACAGATCCAATTGAGAACAGCAAAGAAAAATAAAACAATTAGTTTTCAGCTGAATCTATTTCCTGAGATAATCCTTGAACAGCTGCACATCTGCTAGTGCCAGGATTGGCACAAGAGAGACAACAGGAATGCACAGCCAAGACACAGAGATGACTTACAGTGATCATCAAACTACAGCTTTAGTCCACTGCCTAGCCTAGACCATGAAACCAAAAAGCAGTGCTTTTCACTAATTCTATTTCAAAATGGATGAATCTTGGACTAGATGGAAATGAAGTGCTATCTCTAAAGCTGTAATTTTAAAGATAAATGTTGAAACTTCTTGGGCAAAGCAATATGAATGAAGCTTGATGTTGACCCATAGTTGCCCATATTCTAATCTTGAATGTCTGACAATTCTGCTCCAGATGGTATGTTTTATAAAGACTTAAAAAAAAAAAAAAAAAAAAAAAAAAAAAAAAAAAAAAAAAAAAAAAAAAAAAAAAAAAAGGGAAAAGAACCTCAAACAAATGAAGGAAAGACAGAATGTGAAAATTGTCCTGTTTAGGCAGACTAGAGAAACTTCTGTGGGGTCAGAAGATATTAAGAATTAAATGATATATCTTTCAATATTGGCTATAAATTATTAAAATTACACCCTCAATATTATTTTAATTACTTAATTAAGAAAGAGACAAAATACTTAAGTAAGAAAGAGATAATACAAAACAAAAATTCTAATTTATATTACAGCATAAGAAAACCACGCCACATCCCCACCATGTTCAAGATGTTGTACAGCTGAATTGTTTATTTGTAGAGAAATTATTCTATAGTATATGATTTGTAAATGGCTTGGGATTTTCTACACTGAAAAAACAATAAATTTGCCCATAATACAACAGCAAATGGTTTTGAAATTTGCACCAAATGTTATCTTTTATAATGGTGAACATTCTGCAACTTAAATTTCTGCCTGATTATTTACAGGCTACAATCTCCATAGTTAGGAGTATACACATAGAAATATTAGGAGATTCTCCCATATTTTTTTTTTGTGTGACAGAGCAATCCTAAGCTGTTCTTCATCAAATTTATTTCCAGGAATTGTTGAAACTGTATTTTCCTTTTAATATCTAATGAGATAATTTCTTAAAGCAGTCTTAAGGACTTTCTGAATACTACATTCAATTAAAAAATAAGCAATTGTAGTTCTTTATCATAGTACTTAGTATCAATTTTTAACATCTTCTGTCAAGACTTTTAAAATTCATAGGGTTTCCATGTACCCTGCAGTAATATGTTACTATGAAACTAAAATGTGAAAGTTATCTTGAGTGTTTTTTACTGCACTGCCGGTGTCCATATGAACCTTCAAATGCAACTAATGAGAGGTCCCTAAAAAATAAGAGCAACTCAGGCTTTTACTCCACCATCCTGAAAAAGTGTTGAAGGATTTTAAGCAAGGATTAGTGACACAACAGACCATAAAGAAAACACAGTGTCAGTGACCCCTCTGGGGGCTGTTAATCCTTGGATCACTGACATGATCACCTATAGCTGATCTGTAGAAGCACTTCTTTACTAATGGTGCAGTGTATACTTGATCCACATATTTTTGACATGGACAATATTTTGGCATTAAAGTAACAGCTATAATTTACCAGGTTTAATGGATGGCTCCCTTTTAACCACAAATTACTAACCTGAGAGGCTGTTACCCTCCACTATAGCAATACCTATAATACTCCAGGGGTTACAGACAAGGTGGCTGGTAAATGATTACTGTCTTCCAGTTAAATTCTTTCATACTCTTCTAGACCATCATTCACAATTTATCAAAGTGGTGTTGTTGACAGGAGGAAAATGCAATGTCCTGAAACTGCTACACTAGAAGAGACAACAAGCACTTGCAAAAATTTTATCTCATGTAAAAAACTAAAGCAGTGGACTGAACCTTCTTTGGAGCTTTTGCTGTATGTGTCCTGTCAACATTATACAGGAGATTTTTAAAACAATCTAAGGGCCTTTAAACTGCAGGAAAGAGATATGTCTGTGTATATTAAAACAAGTCTGTGCTGTATCATTCACACATTACTTCATGTATGTGTCCATGGAATCTGCCTGACATGTATACTTATAAAAAGAGAACTGGATTTTATAAGCAAAAGAACCACCCCACCCATCCTTTTACACCATTTTTTTATCATGGTTTTAATATCATATCATACAAACTGGGCACCATATCAGAGAGAAGTCTTGGAAACAGCAAGCATGACATTTAAAATTTGAATAGTAAAGAAGTGGGGAAAATTACCTCATACTCCTGTGAGAACTTCAAATTGTCATTTGCTTTCAATCTTTCAATGTGATCTGCAAGTTCCAAAATAGGTATTGGGGGATGACTGGCCATACCTGTTGAACAAGAAAGAAGAACAAAATTTAAAGTAAATTACAGTGATGGCATTGCTCTAAAATTTAGAAAATGCAGTAGTTACAATGTCTATAAATGTGTAAGGATGTCATATGTGAGAGAAGCAGGCAAATAGTTTGGTTACTCAAAGCAGGACATGCTCTGCATAGATGAGCTCTGAAGCCAAATTAAAAGAAGTCACCAAACATATTCCCAAAGCTAACATTCCTAGTGTTAAGGAAAGAGCTAGTGTTATATGAGTCAATGAGTTTAGCTAGGCATGGAAAAATGAAACAGTTAGACCTGATGTTGACCTCTGCTTTGAGTAATGACTCTTAATGTCATTTCAAACTCCTTCTACTGCAATGCATGAAATGAAAACTCTATTGAATTAGATGAGGAAATGTGAACTGAGAAACAGACACTGAAAGAGCCCTAAAGGGGAAACAATAGTGTTTTGACAGAAAACAAAGTGACTTATGCGTAATCAAGAAAAACAAACTTCAATAATGAAGGTTACCAAGGTAACCAGAGACACCTGAACCTGCAAAGGTAAAAAAAAAAAAAAAAAAAACTCAAACAAAAAAAAAAAAAAAAAAAAAAAAAACCAAACAACAAAACAACAAACAAGAAAAAAAATCCCCCAAAAATATGCATGGTGGAAAAAAAAAATCTGC